GGATGGCCACATTGCACCCTTCATACTAGATAAAGGTGGCTGGGTGTGGATCACACCTGTAATCTCAGCACTTGGGGAGGCTGAGGTGGGAGATCGTTTGAAGCCAGGAGTTTGAGCTCAGCCTGATTTCGACCCTATCTCTACAAAAAAATAAAAATTACTCAGGTGTGGTGGCACGCACCTGTAGTCACAGCTACTCAGGAGTCTGAGGTAGGAGAATCACTTGAGCCTAGGAATTTCAGGCTGCAGTGAGCTATGATTGAGCCACTGCAGCCTGGGTAACAGAGAAAGACTCTGTCTCATAGAAGAGGGTGGTCATTGCTCTGCGTGGTCCAGCAGCGCCCAGGAGGTCACTGCAGAGAACGTGGTGAGCACCCCGTGTGTGTTCAGCACAGGGCTAAGCTTTTCGCATGTGGCAGCTCCTTTCATCTCACTACATCTTTGAAGGAGGTAGGTATTATTATGATGTTCACTTTACAGATGAGGAAACTGAGGCACTGAGCAGTTAAGTAGTTGTTACTAGAGTCAACCCCAAGAGTCCATTGTTCAGATATGCCCATTATTACACTGAAACCTCCCCAACAAAAACGCCCCCTCTTGATGCCATACACTTGCTTGTCTACAGCTGTTGCTAAAGTCTAAGTCTCCAAGCAGGCAGGGGCCCAAGGAGGGGATCGTGGGAGGGAAAGCCTGGCCAGGGTCCCTGTGTTCTTGCCACCTGGGGACTCGCCCTCCTTGCCCTTTCCCACTGCCATCTGACCTGAGGTTACTCAACATCACAGACACACAACACTAGCCTGGCCTGCGGGTCTTTGTCCCAGGTCATCATCGGTTCATCCGTCTCTCTGCAGGGGCTTGCACCCTGCCATGACCTGGTGTGGGGAGTGAGAAGGGGAGGGAGGTGTTCGCAAAGTGACCTACAAGCTTCCAGTTACAATCTCAATGAACCTACGTGATGATGCGCTACAGCATACGGACAGTTCCATGTTTGCACCACGGAGCTGGGAAATGGCCTCTTCCTGCCGGTTCTAGAAAACAGGCTCCCAGAGACTTTCTGCCCAATGCTGAGCTTTCCTGAGTAATTTTCTAGAGTAATGCAATTTGTATTTTTGATGACTACACTTTGAAGTAAGTTTTCTGTGTTCCTCTATGTATTTATTTATTTTTGAGACAGAGTTTCACTCTTGCCCCGGTTGGAGTGCAATGGCGCCATCTTGGCTTACTGCAATCTCCACCTCTCAGGTTCAAGGGATTCTTCTGCCTCAGCATCCCGAGTAGCTGGGACTACAGGTGCGTGCTACCATGCCCAGCTAATTTTTCTACTTTTTGTAGAGACAGGGTTTCACCATGTTGGCCAGGCTGGTCTCGAACTCCTGACCTCAGGTGATCCACCTGATTCAGCCTCCCAAAGTGCTGGGATTACAGGCATGAGCCACTGCTCTCAGCCTGTTTATTTATTTAAACATCGACTTGTGCTTAGTTAGAGCCCTTTGTCATCATTGCCATTTGTGTGTTATCTCTTCTGCAAGACCATGAGCTCCTTGGGGAAATGCATCTTTTGCATCTCAGTGGCCTGGTTTTGAGCTTAATAGAGAGGAGGTGCTCAGAAAGTGCTTGTTAACCGGAAGATAAGGCATTATGGGATGTCTGAGATTAAAGTGGCAGAATGGGAGAGGAGAGAAAAGGGGTCACCAGCAGATATTTAGAAAAGGAAAATTCTCTCTTGTAATCATCCCCAGACTTAAACCATCAACCTAGGAGCCACAAGTAATGCATGATTTAAGAAGTCAGAATAAAGTATCTCTTTACTCCCTCTTTCAGTGCTGCCATTTTGTCTTCACTCCGTCATTCCTCACTCACGTTAGACACTCTCCCCCTGTTCTAGCTTTTCCATCTCCTCCCTGATCCTAACTCCAGATTCGGTCTCATCCTGCACTGGTTTACGGTAATGTACACTTGTTTGTCTCAACTCTTCTTCCCAGTGGCCTGTTTTGGCATCTTTAAGGGCTTGTCATCATTTGCTCATGGCTAGAAATAAAGGGATCTCTTTGTTATGAGCTTCTTAAGAAGGATCAGTTCACACAGGTTATCAGTGACAGCAAACCAGTTCAGCCCACCTCAAGCCAAAAATACTGTGGGGGTGGGCAAGAGGTTTGTCTATCCCACCCAAAATGTTCAGGCAACTTACTCCAGACACCCAAATTATGTTATTAAGGTCTCATCTCTTGTTCTAAATGTATTTGGGACAAAGTCTGGACTGTGTTGGGTCTGTTCTCCACACAGACTCTGTATGCAGAGATGAGATGGATGCTGGCGGCCCCAAGCATGTCCTATACCTCACAGCTGCACAGAAGGGGGGATGGCATCTACAGTGGCCAGCAAAGTCCTGCCAAGGCCATGGCAGGTGGTGATCATGGGTTTGGGTGGTGTGCCCATTCTTGATCTTGATCTAAGTCACAGGCCCACCCTGGGTCTGGGATGGAGGGTGGAGTGAATGAAGAGAACCCCACCCGAAGCCATTGGGAACATATACACTATGGAGAGAGGGCTCAGGCTCCCTCAAAGAAGACATGCCGAACACACAAAATCGGAGCTCCTTTCCAACAGCACAGTCACCGACATGTCCTCCTTCCTGGATCTAGGACAGATTTCCTGCAAGAGGACTTTATTTTTCCCACCCTTGTTCACACAGCCAGGTCTAGAGTCCAGGTTTCCTAGCTGCAGGTGTGGTCCCCATTCCTCATCCCACACCACTCCTTCACACATAAAGACACAAATGCACACACACGTGCAGTGCACACTCACCACCGATCCCTGGTCAAAAGCACCTACAGCACAACTCACCATTGTGAAGACACGGAACCCACCGAAGTACCATTGGCCAATGAGTGGTTAAGGAAAATGTGGTGTATATACACCATGGAATACCACTCAGCCACAAAAATGAATGAAGTAATGTCTTTTGCAGTAACTTAGATGAGGCTGGAGGCCATTATGCTAAGTGAAGTAACTCAGGAATGGAAAACCAAATACCGCATGTTCTCACTTACAAGTGGGAGATGAGCGATGGGTACACAGGGGCATACAGCGATATAATGGACACTGGAGACTCAGTAGCGGGAGCGGGCAGAGGAGAGGGATAAAGGAGCTACATATTGGGTCCGATGTGCACTATTCAGGTGACAGTTGCACTAAAATCTCAGACTTTACCACTGTACAATTCATCTATGTAACTAAAACCCACGTATACCCCAAAAGCTATTGAAATAAAAAATAAATCAGTCAATGAAATAAAACACCCATGTAAGCAGCAGCGAAGTACATGAGTTCCTGGGGGCTTGGACAGCAGGCCGGCTCTGCTGACAGCTCCAAGCACAGGCCCTCAGCCTTACGGCACACGGGGATCTCTGGGGAAACTTTCAAAACCCTGTGCCTGGTCCCACCTCGGAGACTTGGATCTTCTCAGCCAGTGCTGCTGTGATCTTTAAAGCTTTCCAGGTCGATCCGAGGTGTGGCCAGAGTTCATTAGCACTGCCTTGGGCGGAGCTGACTGGTCTGTAGAGATGCGATCTCAAGCTCAATGGGGGCTTGGCATGCTCCATCCGGTCCTCCAGTCTCTCACTCATGCTCCGCCCTTCATCCTTTCCAGGTGCCAGGCAAGGATCTTGCAGCCAGGAAGGGAAGGGCCAAGGTGAGACAGGGCTCTCTGGCATTTGAATAAGGTGTCAGGGAGAACAGAGGAAAGAGGGATTACCTCTGTCCTAGAGACTTAGGGAGAGCCTTCCAGAGGAGGTGGCATTCAACGGGGACCTGGAGGCCTGTGCCATCAACAGCACAGGTGATGCACAGAGGTGGGCTGTGCTGATGTCATGAGCTATGGGGTCTCAGGGCGTGTATGCAGGGGAGGCAGACTGAGCTCGGTCCCCCCTTATCCCTGGGTCCGTGGAGAGCATGGGGGATTTTTTTTTTTAAGTAGAATTTCAGCATCTGTTTGGTGTTTAGTTAATTTGTTTTATTATTATTATTATTATTTTAGAGACAGGGTCTCTCTGTGTAGCCCAGGCTGAAGTGCAATGGCATGACCACGGCTCACTGCAGCCTCCAACTCTTGGGCTCAAGCCATCCTCCTACCTCAGCCTCCTAAATAGGTGAGACAGCAGGTGCAAGCCTGGTTTCTTTGTTTGTTTGATTGGTTGGTTGGGTTTTTTTTTGCCTTGTTTTTTTGTTTGCTGGCCCTTGACAATGTTAAGGCTGGATCATCAAGGCCAAGGAAAGCGTTTAGAAAGCAGCTACTTTAGTCCTAGCCAGAAATGACAGAGGCCTGACCTGAGACATGACTTAGACACATTCACTGCTTCAATCAACAGTTCCTGGGTGTGGGTCACGCAGGCCAAGAGAGACACAGGTTGGCAGGGTTAAAGGTGGATTCCCTGGGGCTGGGGACAGGTGGATTGGAGGAATTAAGGAGAGGAAGGAAAAAGACCCACTTCCCCACATCCAGCCATGCAGATAGTGACACTGTGAACAAAGACCAGCAATCCTAGAGGCTGCGGGCTGAGGAGCAGGCTGAAGAGAGCACTTGTGACATGATGAGGCTGTGCCTGTGGTCACCTGGGTAGAGAGATAGTCTTTTCCTCTGCGTTCTCCTTCCTTCCAGTAATATCTGTCACCCTTTTGTCAATGCCATCCTTAGAGGGATTCAGAAGGGGCATTGGGTGTTTGGAGTGAGGGGACTCCGTTCTCTGGCTTGATGTGGATGCTGAGGGCTGCTCCCAGGACCCTCCTAGTGTGATGAGCGCCATGGCCCCTTCTGGCCCCACTGTTTGCTCCTCCTGCCCCTGAGAAGCCCCGTGCTTCTGGGCAGCCCTGAGAAGCCAGCAGAACCAGAGGGTGAAGAAGGAGACCCACAGTGCAGGGAGGATGGCACAGAGGTCACCAGACGGGGCCGCAGCAGATGGCCACGGAGGCACCCGATGTGAGCTTTTTTAAAAGCATGACTTGTGCTTGCTTTGGCAGCACATACACTAAAATTGGAACGATACAGAGAAGATTAGTGTGGCCCCTGCGCAACGACTACACGCAAATTCGTGAAGCGTTCCGTGTTTAAAAAGCAAACAGACAAAAAATCCAACAAAAAAACATGACTTGTTCTGAGGATGTGGCTTTCTAACCTTCAGCAGGTAGGGCCTGGGAGCAGCTGACGGGCTGTGTCGTCGTGCATGCGTGAGCTCCACAGAGATGTGCTTTTGTGTTCTGCGGAAACGCACCCCACTCTAGCTTCTGCATTAGGCCTGCCCCTCTGGAAGGAGGCAGAACTCCTCCTGAGGAAGCCTGCGCTGCCCCTGGGCAGGGACAGAGGAAAGAGCTCAGGAAGGGACAGAACTGAAATAACCCGTGCCACCTTGACACTCGCCCATGGATGGCGGGTGCGGACACAGGAGGGTTCCTTCCCTCCCAGCCAGCACCTCTGGCTCCCTGCTCCCTCCCCACCTCCTGGCCCCCTCTCTGAATCCCTCTTCCTTCTTCCCCTGTTGCTACGCATCTCTTCTCTCCCTCAGCCTTCTTTAGAGAACTTCAGACACAGAAAGTTTCTGGGGGTGGCATCTCTCATGCACACTCCATTTCCTCATCTCGTAAGAAAGTCCTTGGACAAGACCATCTCTAAATTCCTCCCCAGTTCCATCACCCAACCCCTGCTGGAGCCCTGCCCCGTTGCTGGTCCGTAGCTCTAAAAATATGTTTTACAGGTCCTGTCCTCCAGTAATTCCAGATTCGTAGTAAATCCCTAGTCTTCCTGAAATATCTTGAAAATTTTCTCTAGCTTTTTGGTAGGAAAATGTTACTGCCACAGGCACACAGTTGACTTGCATGTCATTTCTCCTTCCTGGCTAGGTAAGGGCCAAGGAGGTAGCATGCTGCTTCTGCTTCACTCCTAAGGTTCCCATGTCACTGATAACACTCCCAGAAAGTACCCATGTCACTGGCAGCATGGAATGCAAAGCCACCAAGGCACAGAGGAGCCTTAGCTGGACCGGGGTCAAGTTCAGCCTCGCCTTATCTCTGGCCACACACTAAATGCCATGTTGTGATCCTGCTTCTGAACTTGCCTGGACCTGAGAGACTCAAAGGGAAGCTGTTTCTTTAATCTCCTGTTGCAAGCAAAAGGCATTTCACTGAGGTCGTTCTTCAGGGACATCGTGGTCGCAGGTCTCTTAGGCGAGGGACTTCCAACAGGAGTTAAGCCACACCAGCAAGGTTAGTTCCAGGCCTGTTGCTTTAAAAGTGTCATGGGCTGGGCGTGGTGGCTCACACCTGCAAACCCAGTGCCTTGGGAGGCCAAGACATGGGAGGATCGCTTGAGCCCAGAAGTTTGAGACCAGCCTGGGCAATATAGTGAGACCCCCAACTCTACAAAAAAATTTAAAAACTAGCCAGATATAGTGGTGCACACCCGTAGTCCCAGCTACTCGGGAGGCTGAGGGTGAGGGAATCGCTTAAGACCAGGGGTTCGAGGCTGCAGTGAGCTGTGATCATGCCACTGCTCTCCAGTCTAGGCAACAGAGTGAAATGCTGTCTCTATAAAAATAAAGAAATAAAGATGTTTCCCCAACAGGAAACAGATGCTAGCGTGGGATTCCTTCTGAAACTCTCTGGGATTCGGTGAACGATCATCACGGCTATGGCAAGGAGCTGTCAGAGGGAAGCTTTATCAGTCACACACGTTAACGGACTAAACTTTTCTACTCTGGCCTGTTGGAGTCTGTTCCTAAAAAATAACTCAAAATATATCAATAGAGGCACGTCTCTGAATCAAAGGTCAATCCAAAATTGCATTTAATCAAATGCGGTCACTTTCTAGGCTGGAGGTTGAAGGCATACTCAGAGAAGGGGAAATGGGAAAAGTGAACTCAGCTGGCAGGAATGAACCATGACTAAATCCATCTCACTTCAGTAAAAACAGGCCTGAGAGTGAAAGCAAGTTTTAAAACCGAATTTTCCCAGCATGACTCAGGGATTGCCTTTCTTATGCCAGTTTTCAATTTGTTTTTATAGACGGAGAAATGGGGGCTCATAGCCCGAGTCTAATCTCCAAAAGAAGAGTGAGCCCATCTGACATATCGTATGAGCACGGAGCTTAGGGGACTCTTCACCAAAACCTAGACAAACATTTGAGTGCATTTTTTTTTTTTTTTGGAAAGGGAGATAGCGCCCAGTGGGTCTGTTTTATAATGCATTTGTGTAAGGGGGACGAAGGAGGAAATGGGATTTAAAAATAAAACTGTTTACTTCAGAGGCTGGGGTTATAAAAGCATAGGTTTCCCTTTCAGGACTCTCTGAAGTTGGAAAGTATGAATTACATATACTCATTAAAACGTTTTATGTTAAATCAAAAGTAAAATTAGAAGCCATGTTAATGATTCAACCACGTAACAACTGGCCAACAGATGCCGGAAACTTACGGTTAAGAGATTACATGGTTTGAGCTGACAATTTACTGTA